CTAAAAACCACAAGTCAGACTTAGCACCGAGAGATGGGACTGGTCGGACTTGTCAATCTGGAAGAAGAAAAACTCCCTTATTTGCAGGCGCAAAGTGCGCGAGTTGTTCTGATAAATCGGCTTGTAGCTCTGATTCAGCAGCAGGATTTCACCACTAATGAATTTAAAAAATGTTTGATTTTCTCCCGACCTTACGACCTCTTGATCGGGAGGTGGTAGCGAGAGGCTAATCGCCCCTCGTTACCCCCGTATTTTTTGGACCGGGCTGAGTTTCAGCCCGGTCCAAAAAATTCTTCCTCGACTGGAGAATGGGTAAAAAATAGCGAACCATGTAATGTATGCCCGGCTTAATGCCAATGTCATACAGGAGAGTCGCTCTTGTAATCATTTGTGCTTCCTTACCTGCTTTCACAACTAATAACTTTGTAATGTAGGGTAATGTTAATATGTGACCTAAATGAATTATATCTACCAGCAGGAGGTTGCTTGGATTTAGTTTGCATTGATAAGGGATCATTTTTAATCACACTTATCTGATCTAAACATAGATCAGTACCAAACAAATGGGAGAAGGACATTTACAAAGTTTAGAGAAAATATTATAGAATTAAATGTATGAAATTTGCACTTTTTGCAAAAGTTATTCTTAAAATACATAAAAGTACTTAGCTTAAAATTAAAAGAAATAAATTGACATGCAAGTGTTTAAATTTTGGGATAAGAAGCGATTTGGTTGTGGGTATGAGGTGAAAAGATTGAGGGGAAAAAATGGCAATGTGTGGGAACGAAGTGGACAAAATGAGCAGGAGTTTCACAGCTACCGAAGAAACCAGGGTCCTCTAACAGGAAGCGTTGCAATTCAGGCTCAGCAAACACAGAACCTACTTAGAAGGTGGCTTTGGACCAGACAATGAACCCTAGACCATCTGGTGGTGGTCCTTTCACTCTGAATTGGAGCACTAGGTCAAAAGGCAGTTTGAAGTGCCATGGCTTTTCCTGGTCAACACCAAGTTCCCACTTTCTTTGAGTTTACATGTTATTGCCAATATAGACTTTCAGTTTCTGCCTAGCAATGATATCTGGTAAAGGAAGCGATGGCTACAGGTTTATCCCAATTACGTGTCAAAGCGTATGTCCATAAACTTGATCCTTTCATTTAAATTAAAAAAAGCAAATCAAGATGCCTGCTGTTGGTTGATGCGTTTACAGACCGGGAATGGGAGGCCCTCTGATTTTGTGAAGTCAAAACCAGCCTAAGACCAATCAGAGCTGATCAGGGGAACATTGGCCAAATCGTATCACAGATGGGTTGAACAGTGCAAGTTATGCTACCATCAGCAAGGGAGGGACTGTCATTTCACTGCCGGCCCTAAATAACAGCTTTTTATTTGCTGCTTTAGATTAGGAGATTTCAAATGAGGGAAATATCATTGATAGTCTACTCTTCTAAGGTAAGCCGAATGCTGTTTTGTTTCATATTATCTGTGGCCAATTTTGTGGAGGAAAATATGCTTTAGAATATAGAAAATGACCTTATCGCCACATAAAAGGGTCTTAAAGTTGTTCATACTTTTTGAAACGCAACAGCCTTAGTTATTTACCTACACATTTGATTCCTCTTGTTTGAAAGCACATTATTGCTAATTAAAGCAAAGTATTTTTTAAACAATGACTTTATTTTTTATTTTGATACAGCAATCTCTATTTTAGACTCATCACATTGGTGTACCGGTAATTAGAAAACTATTTCCTTGTCTTCTGAGAAAATGTTGTACAATCTGCTCCAGGTTCCAATTTATACACATAGGGCCGGATCTATCAAAGGTTTGCGTGTATTAAAACGTGAGCTATTTCACTGCGCACGCTAAAAAATGTACAAACTGATCTATCAACAGCGTGCTAAAAGGATTTGGTCTTTAAAACGTGCTAAATAGCGCCTCTTATCCATTTAGTACTTTTTCTGCAATGAATATGCAATATGGGGCGTTTACACGCTAAAGTGCGTCTTGTGGGAGGAGAACATGCAAATATATTAATTTAGCACTCGCAAAGTGATTTATTAAACCTGAAAGCAATTTTGCTAACGGTATCTGACTCTATATTTAACACGTTTCAAAAGAAGGTGCAAATGGTCTGTATGCGTAATCGCGCACACATGGCAGCGGTTATTGTCGCAAGAAGGAGACATCGAAATAAAGCAAGGAGACGCAGAGAGCGCATTTTTTCACTCCGTGTGAATATTTTTGCAATGAACGAGGAAACGATCATCAAAACATATAGTTTATCCAGCATATTGCCATTTTGGAGCTGTTGGGGGAACTCCGAATGGATTTGGAGCCAGCCACAAGGAGGACCCACGCAATACCAGATATCACAAAACTCCTTGCAACATTGCACTTTTTTGCATCTGGGTCATTCCAGCGTACGGTTGCAGCGAGAGCTGGGATCTCCCAATCTCGTTTTTTCAGAAGTGCTGTCCGACGGGGTCGGGGTTCTCCCCCTGCGCCTGTGGAGCAACATGCCAAATGCTGCGGGGATCTCATCCACAGTCACAGGCCAATACATAACACCTGTTTTTTTTTTTTTTTTTTTACTGCAGCACATACCACCTTAGGGAATAAAGGTTGCCAATTTATAAAATATATATATATATATATATATATATATATATATATATATATATATATATATATATATATATATTTACTTATTTATTTTTTTTGTTGGGGGTCACTGTAAGATTTAAATTTCTTAATGCACTAGTTTGTACAGACTACAAACTACTTTGCCGCAAACCACAAAACGCGCAAAACCATCATTTAAATAGGGCGTCTCCAACAGTTTTGCACCTTCCACCAGTTACGCAATCGCTCTTGTTAAATCACCCGCAAACCATGGTCCAGCCCCTTGCGCAAAATTCCAGTTTGCGAGCGCAAATTACTGCACGCAAAATTGGATCTTGATAAATCTGGCCCATAGTATTAATATTGAAATACAAAATAAGTATTTAGTTGAATTTTATTCAATTACAAAAAAGGTGGATCAAAGTAGATAGATAAATATACAGATGTCAGAATCTAAATAGATAGTTAAAGATATTAAATGCTTTGAGGAAATATCCAATATATATTTTCCAATATTAGGGTAACAACTTTTCACATTTTATAACATGAAAAAATGGGACATGCGGTCAAGTTTTAAAACACTTAATTAACACCTAAACATTTTACCTGGAAATATTTTCATGGCCTTATGTGCAGGAAAAAAAAGCCATTGTATAAGTGCACGGGTTGTTTGATCCATAACTTTTTTTAAAAAGTAGCCAAAATAGCTGGTGTTTTAAATTCAACGGCAAATTATAACATCTGCCTCTTAACCTTTGTGTGATTTTCTTATTTTTTGGCTTAAGTTGACTGGTGTGTTTATAGAACTGAAAACGGTGAGTTTCTAGTTTTGACGCATGTAACAAATACAAAAAAGGTTTGAGTGTCAGCTTTCAACCTTCCAATTTAGAGAAAATTGGCTAAATCTTGTCTCCGGCAGGCTGACCACTAGTTTTATGAAGCAACTTTTCAGATCTTTTCAAACACATACGAAAGAGGATTAGGGCCACTGTAAAAATAAAAAATAAAAAAAGTTTACTGATTATCAAATAATATTTCAGTTTAATATGGGGAAAAAAGTCAGAATTACGACTTTAATCTTAGAATTTTGACTTTAATCTCAGAATTCTTATTTTAATCTCGGCATTGTAACTTTAATCTCCGAATTTATCTTCATGTAGATGGGCACCATGAAGGAAGAGATGTGTGAGCACCCAGTTTTACTGACACAGAAGATGTGAGTTGTTTGTGAGGACCAGTAACACATTGGTGGAAAATGACAGAATTAGGTGACTTTTTACGTGCCCGAGGGGTCCCTGGTGATGCTATTTCATTAATGGAAGAGCAGAAGGTGATTAAAACAAAAGAGCTAGTTTAGTCTCTAAAACAGACATGGCTACGGCTTGATGCTAACATGTTTGTTAGCTGTCAAAAACAGTCAGAATTCTGAGATTAAAGTCATAATTCTGAAAAAAGTCAGAATTCAGACTTTTTTTCTCAGAATTCAGACTTTTTTTGTTCCTCAGAACTCAGACTTTAATCTCAGAATTTTGGATCTTTATGTAGATGGGCCCTATAAAGGGAGAGATGTGTGAGCACCCAGCTTTACTGACACTGAAGATGTGAGTTGTTTGTGAGGGCCAGTAACACATTGGTGGAAAATGACGGAATTAGGCAACTTTTTACGTGCCCGAGGGGTCCCCAGAGAGGCTATTTCATTAATGGAAGAGCAGAAGGTGATTAAAACAAGAGAGCTGGTTTCTAAAATAGACATGGCTACAGCTTGATGCTAAAATGCTTGTTAGCTGTCAGAATTCAGAAAAAAAGTCAGAATTCTGACCTTTTTCTCAGAACTATGGATCTTTATGTAGATGGGCCCTATAAAGGAAGAGATGTGTGAGCACTCAGTCTTACTGACAAAGATGTGAGTTGTTTGTGAGGTCCAGTAACACATTGGTGGAAAATGAGGGAATTAGGCAACTTTTTACATGCCTGGTGAAGCTATTTCATTAATGGAAGAGCAGAAGGTGATTAAACAAGAGAGCTAGTTTATTCTCTAAAACAGACATGGCTACAGCTTGATGCTAACATGTTTGTTAGCTGTCAGAATTCAGTAAGAATTCTGAGATTAAAGTCAGAATTCTGACTTTTATTCCTCATATTATACTGAAATAAAATGTAAAAATCAGTTCACTTTTTTAGTTTTTCAATGGCCCTAATCCTCTACCATAAATACATATTAGGAAGTATTCAAAACTTATCTTCTATATGAAATACGCAAACTAACAAAGGACCTGTAGATTATTCTCCCACTAAAAGGGTCAAGTTAAACAAGATCAGAAGTCATTCTTCGTCACAATCCAACCAAGATAACACAGGACAATGCCACAAGTTGCTAACAAACAGGCCCTAATCTGGGAAGTCCTTAAAAAAAGCTCTACACCTCCAAACCTCTGCAACTAAACCCCCCTGAACACAACAACTGCAGGGACTCTGAAGCCTTCCCCCCTCTGCTCAAATCTCAGCGCCTCACTGGACAACTCTTGGCGGACAAAGTTATTCCATGGCGCTTAAAACTCCAGGAACTTTTTTTTTTTCCCTTTTTCCTAAAAGAAGTTGTTCCTGTTTCGCCAGAGAAGTGGTGGAGGTGCGGGGGGAAGGGAGGACTTCAGCGCTCGCATTCATGGAGCCTCTCGGCCAGCGCAAACAAAGTCTTCCCCCGAAGAGGGAGGCAGTGGACGGCTGATGAGAGCCAGAACAAACGGCAACACACACAAAAACTGAAAAAATACCTCCTAAATGATTCTCCTGTGGGGATAATAAAAAGACAACTCAAAGCCCGCCTTGGGTAAACGTTCCTTTTTTCTTTTTTTTGTATCCCCCCTCCAAGTTGTGTTCAGCTCCGTTAACAATATAACAATTAAATCGCCCAGCAGATGATAGGGGCTGGCCGACAAAAATCACAAACCGGGGCCTGTAATCTCGTTACGCGTTTATAAATCATATAAAACACATTTCAGATGAAAATACAATACCGACGGCGTGGAGCTCCTGAAGAATGCAGAACATGCATGCTGCATTGTGTCCCTTTTTTTCCATTTTCACGAAGCTCGGGCGGTCCTCCGCTGTGATAATGGGGGTAAAAACCAACGTTTCTCCGCGGGTTTCACACCACGCCGAAAACATCTTGAATAATCCGCTTCTGTTGCGCCGCAAAAACCGTCATTTGCGAGCCGAGAAAAAAAAAAGAAAGAGTAAGAGAAGGGAGGGAGGTCGCCGTGTGAGCGAGGCCAAGACGCGACGTGTGGGTTTAGCTAGCCAGCCAGTCAGCAGCTCCAGTCACCCTTCAGGGGGTGGTGGTGGAGGTGGAGGGGGGCAGAGGCAGGGAAGAGCGGATACCGGAGTGTGATGTCCCCGGGAGGAGGACCCGCGTGCGCCCGTTGCCAGGAGGCGAGAGCCGCGGCGGCGAGACTCTCCAGCTGCAACGAGAACAAAAACAAGGGAAACACTCACCTGGAATGTTAGCTCAGGTTCCGGTTTCCTTCACTTCATACCGCGAACATTATCAAATCACAACATTATCACGGTAACATTGTGAAACGGGAATATTCCTCGCCTCCGCTTTCCACTGGCCCTACTCCATTACATCCCAGTCAACATTTCCTGCCGTGCCCCCCCCTCCGTTCCTAAGAGATGGTTCAGTCCAATTCTAAGTAGCAATTCTAGGTCAGGTCTGTGTGTACCAGTGAGAATGTTACTGTCGGACAGCAGCAAATGTCCACGTTCATGTGACACATTAACAGAGATGGCAAAAGTACTCACTTTCCGTACTTGAGTAAAAGTACAGATACTTGCGTTAAAAATACTCTGGTAAAAGTGGAAGTAGCTACTGATTAAACTTCTTTACTCAAGTAAAAGTAACAAAGTACAGGCTTGTAAATTTACTTAAAGTATAAAAGTAAAAGTAGAAACCACTTTTTTCATTTAAATGGATGTCTGCCAATAGGACTAGATCTCTGTTATGTTCATTTTCAATCATCTCGTCGTCCATGCTACTATGCTAACGCCAACGCCACCAAGCTGCAATGATTTGCCGCCAATGAATACCACCGAATCTGTCGATTCATCTTGTAGTGGTGCGTCAAATGCAATGTAGATTCCCATCCAATTAGATTGAATTTGGTATTGATGACGTGAAAAATAATAACGGTAACTCCATTGAAATGATTCAAAACTAAAGTAACGAGCCAATTTTTTTAAATGTAAGGAGTAGAAAGTACAGATATTTGTGTAAAAATGTAAGGAGTAGAAGTAAAAAGTCACCATAAAAATTAGTAGCAAAGTAAAGTAAAAATATCAGAAAAATCTACTTGAGTACAGTAATGAAGTATTTGTACTTCGTTACTTCCCATCTCTGCACATTAAACACTCGAAGACTAATCATCTGCTTGTGTTTTTGATTGGGACAATATTTGTGATAATCTAACTCAAACTTACTATAAGAATGAAGGTGGGAAAATCAAAGGAATATAACTTGCAGAAGTTTTCAAACTCTCTCCAGTTGCTTTTTAAAAGCACTAGACCTCTGTAGAACTTTTAAAAACAATGTTTACAGGTGTGTATGAATAGGTTATAATATTATTTAAGAGGTTTTTAGAATTATTTCATAAATTCACCTCAACACCTGAAACTCATACAAAGAGAAATATTTCATATGCTTATTTGGGAGAATTCTGATGATTCTGTTTTTTTTTTAAATCTGTTGTATTAAACAGAGTTATTACAAAGAAGAACAATAAACAAAGACACACCACTTATGGTCACTACAAGAAGATAGTGAGTGGACAGCAGTGTAATAGATAATCTGTAACACCCGCCACACAAAAACCTGGCACTTCACATTGTGCTGTTTTAAAGTATATGGAAATGGAAAGTTTAGTGGAAGGAAGAACTGTGTCTAAAAACACACAGTCTAACCTGAAGTAGGGGTAGAGATATAGCTATATATAGCCTTGTCTAACTCTTAAATTATTTTTGTTGTTTATATAATCTACTCTATAAAAGACAGATTGGTTTTTAAGTAAAGCCTGGTCAAGAGTTTGGAAATATTTACAAGGATGGATGCAGGACTACAAGTGCTGCTCCATACAGAACTTTGTTTACTTATTTTATGAACCTTTAACTTAAGAATAATTGTAAAAATTTATTATTCTGCAAGTCTTCTAAATTACATCCTTTTACAGCATATCCATCCAAATATATGGAAACAAAAATTATTCCGCAGGTGATTACATAGATGTTTTATTTAGACAATACACTTTTAGACAAATATTTAAAATAGTTACCACAAACAGTAAGCAGATATCGTAGAGGGACTTTGATTTTTTTTTTTTTTTAAGTTGCTCTAACTACTTTGTGACCTACAGTTGTCAGATTCCTGATGTTAGACCACTCCTGAACTAGATACAGTGTCTGTCACGCAAATAATTGTGGGCAATCGTATAGCACCTAGCTGTACATAAATTGATGCTAAGAAGCTGACTGCTTCCTGGACACTATTCGGACAGCACTTATTATGAACTTCCTCTGTGGCTTTTCAGGTATTGGGATTGAGTCTGAAACTTCAAAATGTGCAAAAACAGAATCTGTATGAGTCAAGATTCATTGAAGAAAAGGTTGGTTTTAGGTGCTGACAAGTGTTCAGACACCATCTAAACATATTAAACATTAAAATACAATAAACATTTAGAAGAAGAAGTAGATTTCTCCAATGCAAGATCAATAAAGTTCTATTATTATTATTATTATTATTGCAAAGATCTTAACTGCCTTTTTCCTGACTTTGCCATCCTACACAGCTTAGAGCTGAAGTAAAGACATAAATCTGTACCATACGCAGAGATGGCAAAAGTACTCACCTTCCGTACTTGAGTAAAAGTACAGATACTTGTGTTAAAAAATACTCTGGTAAAAGTGGAAGTAGTGATTAAACTTCTTTACTCAAGTAAAAGTAACAAAGTACAGGCTTGTAAATGTACTTAAAGTATAAAAGTAAAAGTAGAAACCACTTTTTTCATGCCGTTGCCTACATTTTAAATGGATGTCTGCCAATAGGACTAGATCTCCGTTGTGTTCATTTTCAATCATCTTGTCGTCCATACTACTATGCTAACGCCACCGCCACCAAGCTGCAATGATTTGCCGCCAATGAATACCGCCGAATCTGTCGATTCATCTTGTAGTGGTGCGTCAAATGCAATGTAGATTCCCATCCAATTAGATAGAATTTGGTATTGATGACGTGAAAAATAATAACGGTAACTCCATTGAAATGATTCAAATCTAAAGTAACGAGCCAATTTTTTAAAATGTAAGGAGTAGAAAGTACAGATATTTGTGTAAAAATGTAAGGAGTAGAAGTAAAAAGTCACCATAAAAATTAGTAGCAAAGTAAAGTAAAAATATCAGAAAAATCTACTTGAGTACAGTAATGAAGTATTTGTACTTCGTTACTTCCCATCTCTGCACATTAAACACTCGAAGACTAATCATCTGCTTGTGTTTTTGATTGGGACAATATTTGTGATAATCTAACTCAAACTTACTATAAGAATGAAGGTGGGAAAATCAAAGGAATATAACTTGCAGAAGTTTTCAAACTCTCTCCAGTTGCTTTTTAAAAGCACTAGACCTCTGTAGAACTTTTAAAAACAATGTTTACAGGTGTGTATGAATAGGTTATAATATTATTTAAGAGGTTTTTAGAATTATTTCATAAATTCACCTCAACACCTGAAACTCATACAAAGAGAAATATTTCATATGCTTATTTGGGAGAATTCTGATGATTCTGTTTTTTTTTTAAATCTGTTGTATTAAACAGAGTTATTACAAAGAAGAACAATAAACAAAGACACACCACTTATGGTCACTACAAGAAGATAGTGAGTGGACAGCAGTGTAATAGATAATCTGTAACACCCGCCACACAAAAACCTGGCACTTCACATTGTGCTGTTTTAAAGTATATGGAAATGGAAAGTTTAGTGGAAGGAAGAACTGTGTCTAAAAACACACAGTCTAACCTGAAGTAGGGGTAGAGATATAGCTATATATAGCCTTGTCTAACTCTTAAATTATTTTTGTTGTTTATATAATCTACTCTATAAAAGACAGATTGGTTTTTAAGTAAAGCCTGGTCAAGAGTTTGGAAATATTTACAAGGATGGATGCAGGACTACAAGTGCTGCTCCATACAGAACTTTGTTTACTTATTTTATGAACCTTTAACTTAAGAATAATTGTAAAAATTTATTATTCTGCAAGTCTTCTAAATTACATCCTTTTACAGCATATCCATCCAAATATATGGAAACAAAAATTATTCCGCAGGTGATTACATAGATGTTTTATTTAGACAATACACTTTTAGACAAATATTTAAAATAGTTACCACAAACAGTAAGCAGATATCGTAGAGGGACTTTGATTTTTTTTTTTTTTAAGTTGCTCTAACTACTTTGTGACCTACAGTTGTCAGATTCCTGATGTTAGACCACTCCTGAACTAGATACAGTGTCTGTCACGCAAATAATTGTGGGCAATCGTATAGCACCTAGCTGTACATAAATTGATGCTAAGAAGCTGACTGCTTCCTGGACACTATTCGGACAGCACTTATTATGAACTTCCTCTGTGGCTTTTCAGGTATTGGGATTGAGTCTGAAACTTCAAAATGTGCAAAAACAGAATCTGTATGAGTCAAGATTCATTGAAGAAAAGGTTGGTTTTAGGTGCTGACAAGTGTTCAGACACCATCTAAACATATTAAACATTAAAATACAATAAACATT